TTCTTTCATTGCAGATGAATTTACAGTTTGCAGGACTATGTAGGCAAAGACCGCTGAGCCCACAGATGGTATGTAGGAGCACATCAACAAATTAACTTCATGTGCAAGCCAAGCCTTACAACTTTATTTCTTATAAATAACACTTAATCGCAGAAGTTGTCTTGGCAATGGCAGATTCAAGGTGTAAGATTTGAGAGGCCTGATCTCAGATATCTTGAAATCCTAGGATGCTAAAATGACACTTACAGATTAATCAATTGAAAATATTCAGATGCTCTTAAAAATCACCCTGAATTTCCTTTGAAGTTAGAAACAAATCATTGATTTTTAAAATTTAGTTAACATTGGGAAGCATAAAAAACTAAATTAACGTCTGTAAAAACTGCTCTCTAAGCACCTCAGGATGCAATTGATGTATCTATTAATCCATAAACAAAAAAGAAAGAATCTTGCTGAATACTTGAAGTGAAAATCTGACTCCACTAAGGCTTCTGGCCAGAATTACAGTCTTGGTGTGTTAATTTGAGGTGGACCAAAGCCCTGTCTCTGTAAAAAAGCTGAGGTCTGAATTTACATTAAATATGTCAGTACGATTTCCAGTGTCACATCTGCACTACGTTTTGTGCCTGTATCTGGAACCTGTACCTCAGACAGATACAACCAGGTGTAATTTATTTTAATCAACAGCGCTCTGCAGATTACTGTGCTTGACTCCCTTAGAGGTTATGGAGCACTGACAAGGGGGTCCCTTGAATTAACCCTTGGACTTTCAAAACTGTCTGTTTGTTGTTTTGCATACACCTGTTTTGCAGCTCCTCTGTGAATGCTTAACACTTGCTTTCAGTTGTATGAGGTATAAAAGGAATTGTAAAAGTCACGTGCATAGTGTAAAAAACCCCAAAACTTTTTAAATTATATTTTTGTAGCATGAGGACTTTTAGGGATGTGTTTGTTTTCTCAAGAATGTGTTTGACAGGTGGGTTCGTTTATGAATTTGAGTCCAAACATTGACCGAGTAAAAAGCCTCTTCTGCTATGTCTCAGAGAAGTTGTGGATGCCCCCTCCCTGGAAGTGTTCAAGGTCAGGCTGGATGGGGCTTTAAGCAACCTGATCTAGTGAAAGATGTCCCCGCCCATGGCAGGGGGGTTGAACTACATGATCTTTAAAAGCTCTCTTCCAACCCAAACTATTCTGTGATTTTGTGATTCTATAAGTATCTTGTGGGATAAGTGCCTGTCACGTGCTATTCCTGAACTGTCCTTGAATATAATCTGAAATAGCAGCAGTTGCTAGAAAGGAGCAATGCCTCCCCAGTAGGGAAATCACTGGCAATTAAATAGTCTGTACTGTGACACGCCAGTGTCTCAAGCCCATGGCATGGTCTTGTTTTATTTCTTCAGAAAATTTAAATGTATCAAAACCATAAATTGTCTTCATAAAGTGCCAGCTTTCATGATACTTCTACAGGACAGATTAGCAAGGCCCAACCAATCCTCTAATTCCAAAATTAGAGGAAGAGGGATCTGGCCCAGCATCAGGACAGTCACACAAGGTTTGAGGGGGGGATCCAGTTTCAGTACTCCTCCCTATGTGTGAATCAGAGTGCTGTTAGGATATTTAGGGGAGGGTACTTGGAGAAGGGGGAACTTGAAAGGGGAAACTTGTATCTGAGTTTAGCCATATCAAAGATTCATGCCATAAAGAGTAGCCCTGTTGGTTAACTAGAAACAAGTGGATGTCTTGTTTTTAACCAGACAAGATTTTACTTTATTTTGGTATAAAATGGAAAAACAAATCTTGAAATCTCAGTAAGTTTAAGAAAGTGGGAAGACTGTTTCCCATTCAGATTTACCCTTGGCTCCTACGGTAACACCCCTGAGGGCATTTGTTCATTTGTCCTTCTGGAACACCTCTCCCAGCTGTGTTTTCCCTGCTCCATTTCTGGTTGTGTGCATGTACAGCACGCCATGTACAGAATGGTGTGTGACACACATTAATACATATAGATAGCCTTCTGCTTCTGACCTTACAAACTGTCCACTTCAGCACTGTCATTCTATAAAATGTCCAACTGCAGTCCAAGAAATGCATTTTAAATGTGAATGCAAACATTTCTATTACTGATAACACCAGCACAGCATTTTTTGCTTTGCTGGGATTAGGACCTTGATAGTTAAAGTTACATTGGAATAATGACACTCCAAGGTCACGTCCTTTACTGACATGGCAAAGGAAGGAGAGGCCTTTGCTATGTTTCTGCTGATAAAATTAAGAAGGATTATTCCTTGTGTTTGGTGAGATACGTTAAAAGTGAAAGAATATATTTGTGACCCATAAATATTTTAGGTCACCAAAAACTGGGAGAAATTTACATGTTGCACTGCATGAAAGTTGTATTCAATTCGCGCTGAAAGTCAGATTTTAGAAAACACTCTGAAATCTGATAATGGTGTAAATAAATGCCTCCGTCCTCAGTGAACAGCCATCTTCTCACATGAACAGTAAAGCAGCTGCAGTTCAGCTAGGGACACCTTAAAAAAAAAAAACGAAAGTACTGTGATCTGCAGAGAGAAACTCGCAGGCAATTCCAGCTTAGAAGGCTAACTCTCCAAATCACAACCTCTGTCTGAATATGCTCCATCGTGCTTCACTTTCATGCTCGGTAAAATGGGGGTATTAATCTTTATTGATCTGTCTACCTTTTAGGAATGCATTAAGGAGAACTTAAATGATATCTTTACAGTGTTTTGAACAGGTTTGATATATGCAGCTCTTACAATACATCTTAATAGGTGGGCTTGCCATTTTACCAGGTCCTCCCACAGGAGAGCTTTTCTTTCTGGTTCTCTGGTCTTCCCATCCAAACTTCTTCTAACTGGGCGAGTTTGGTAAATTGATGATGACTTCAGCGCTTACCACCTGTTAGCTGAGCTGCCGCAGCTAACCAAGTGCACACTTTTCCCTCAAGGAGTTGGTTTAAGTTGTCACGTTGTACTTTCCAGTTGAACCTACCTAGAGGCACACCGTCGGGCTGTGACTGCTGAAGGAGCAGTCACTCATTAGGACACTGTCACTTGATTGAGTCATATCTTAGCCTAATAATGGAAGGAAGAGGGTGATCCTCTGACGAGAGCCTCAGGCCCTTCCAGCTGTGCCTGAGTTAGTTGGATGTCATTGCATGATGCTTTCTTGAGGATGGATTTTCTGGGGTTGTTGTGTATCGCCTCTGGTGATTTAAATATGCAGAGGTCTTCGCAGATCCCTGCTATTCTTCACAGCACAGTTCATACATGTATCCTTTTTATATCTTTAGCAAGAGATTCAGAGTTGTTCCTCCACTTTTGCACTCTCAGAAAGTAACTTAGTGGTCTGCCCACAAAGTCACTGATGTTTTCACTAAACAGTTATTTTAGAGCTAATTTTACACTGTATTGTACAGTTCCCATTGATACAATGTAAATTAATTGTTGAAATCAATAGGAACTTTATATGTTTGTTTTGGAGACAAATTTGCCTTCAAGTTTCATTAGAAACACTTTAGCCATTTAGTCATGAGGAAACTAGTCTTATGACTAGTGTTGTCTATCCTTCTCTCCCTCTTTCCATCCATCCATCTCTCCATACCTACCTAATGGATTTGAAACAGCCGACCAATTTCAACAAAATTTATCGGAAATAAGGAGATCTAAAAAGATGATTAAGCTCCTAAGTGGAATGAGAATCAGCAGACAGACTGAGGAAAGCTACCCTGTTACTATCCCCACTGAGGAAAAAGAGGGAGAACTCAGCCATAATCTACCCTATTTCTCAGCAACCAAGTAGGTCTACACTAGTCAATGTATGTGATAAGGGGGACAGGGCAACTGGGATCATACTGGTGGGGGACCACAGGGACATGCAGTGTGGTGGATGTTGAGGATAAAGAGGAGGAAGCAAGGCTTCTGGAGAGGGAAGACTGGAAGCCTTACAATTGGATAGATGTTTTCTGGGGGGCTGTGATAGAGAAAGTCAGAGGAGACATGGTGAAGGAAATAGAGATGTGGTTTGCTTTTTTTTTTTTTTACTTTTCCTGTTGCAATAATCCTATGACTTCATTTGTTGTTGTTTGCAAAAAAAAAAAAAAAGTTTGGTTTTATTCACAAGTTTAATCAGAAGTTTGTTTCAGATGCTCTAATACTTGTAAAAAGAGTCTTCCAATAGCATAACTTTCTTCAACCTAGCAGCTTATTGACTGACAAGCTTTCTTATAGTATCTGTTTGACATCTCATCCTAATATTAGTTTTACAGGCACGTTCACATTTTAGGAAATCACTGTATTCTCAAATCTGAGATGTCACAAGTGTCTCCTTCTGCAAGTACTTGCCCCAGAAATGTTAGCTAAAATGTTTTATCTAAAAGCAGCCCTCCCCTTGTGTTGTACTACTTATTTGTCATCCAAAAGCAGCTGCATTTTTATGAACATATCTTAATAAGCCATGTCCTCAAAGGCACCAGTATCTCTTTGTTCCTCCCTGAGATTGTATGGGAGTAATAAGTGGTCATCTAGAGTACTAGGTATCAGTAAATCAAGGAAAATGACACAAGCACCTCAGTTCACAGTTAATAACATTGTACGGATGAGTTGTAGAAAGCAAGACAAACAGACTGATATTTGCATCTATTTCATTCTGTGTTCAAATGAGAGGTGGGAGCAAAGCATCATCCAGGGGCCAGAGCGTGGCCCAGCATTTGTTACATACACTCTCAGCCGCAGCAGATTTGTTGGGAATGACAGTGGACGGTGGTAAAACGTACAGGTGATATGTGATGCGACAAATGAGTTTGAAAGTCCTCATCACCTCAGTAAAGGAACAGTTGTTTCCCACCCTCAGCCTGTCATATCTGTCTCTCGGTGCTTATTTCACCTAAGTTTGATTTAACACACATAAAACAAGTAATTATGTGTGGCAAGTATATGCAGCATGTGTGCATTTTCCCTTTCTATGTCATTTATCTCCAGATTATTGGAACAATCCCACTGATGCCTAATCCAGTCCCCTCCAGCCAGGCGGCAGGTGGAGCTCAGGGACTTCAGGTGCAGCCGATAACTCCACAGTTATTGACCAACGCCCAGGGTCAGATCATCGCTACCGTCATCGGCAACCAGATACTCCCAGTGATCAATACCCAGGGAATAACACTATCACCGCTCAAACCAGGCCAGCAGGTAAAGTGTCTGTAGCCTGAATGATTATCAAAACAGATGCGCAGAAATCTTCTACTCCTCCTGGACTTTCTCATGGCCTTTCTGAAAACTCCCACTTCTTTATCATTTTTAATAACAAAAGATGAATTCTACCCTATGTAGTATATTAGTGCATACTATATATGTAGTTATAATATAATGTCATATTATATAATTTATTTATACATTCGGGGGTTATCCAGTTATTCTTTTTTTTCTTTTAAAGGTCAATATAGGGCCAACTGAGAAATTTTCTGCAGCGAAAGCACAGTAGGAATGTGAGACAGGAGAGGCCCATCTGGCCTATAAAGTTCAGTTCCTTGGTTAGTGGTCACCCAGTAGACTGGGGTTTGAAATGTTTTGGAACGTGCAAAGAAAACAAAGAAAAATATAAAAACTTACTAGTCGTCTTCGCTGGAAAATCAGATATGATTATGCATATTTGCATAGACAGAAAGTATTTTTAGGGAAATTATTATTCAGTGTAAGGCACCAAGTAGTTCACAGACTTCAGGATGGGTGCAGCAACTTCACTGAGGTCTGAAAAGATTTCTGTAGTTCTTTTTATTGTACTCTAAATTCAAATTCATTAGTTTTGTCTACATCTGTAGAGCAAAGAATTGTAGTGCCACCTTTTTTCTCCAAACGAGAGGAAATTGAGGATGGAAAAGACATTAAATGTGATTACCAAAAAGGTACTTATAAAAGTGTCACTCACTTAAATGTTCAGCTTAGCATTCCTCTTGCTGGTAGTGCTTGGTTTGCTAGTCCTGCCTACACCTCCAGTCGCAGGTAGCAGCCTTTTGTATGTTTCTGAGAATCTCAGGGCCCCCTGAACTCCAAACTGATGATTTTTTTTTTTTTTTTTTTTTAATTTAGAAGTAGAGAGCCAATGGATCTGTAGGGTGACTTTTTTGTTTGTTTTGAAAATGTTTCACATCCAAGTGGTTACATACTCTGTTTTCCATCCTATCCTCTGTGGTATCTAGCAGAGACATTTTCCAAAGCGCTTGTCATTTATCTAACTCTATTTTCTTTAATGGGAGCAGACTTATACTACTGGCAAGTGCTTTTGCAATTGTTGCATGTACATGGTTTCAAACAAAGTGGGATGGATGGGAGTTCAGGCTTTGTCTTCTCCAGCACGGGAAAACCTGACAATGGAATAAGAAACTCAGCAGTTTACATTTGGTTTCCTGGGGGGGTGTGGGGTGGGGTGTTTCTTTTTGAGTCAGTCCCCTGAAGAGATTAAATCTTTCCCTCCTTTATGGGGGAGGCTCTCAAAAAGCATAGCAATCCTGAGATCCCATTTGAAACTCGTGAAATTTAGAAGTAAAGAGGAGGATAGGGGTCCTGTATTATTCCCTGAGACCTTCTCACCTGCAGAGCAACGCACCTTCTGAGTCCTGCAGCAAAGCAACATCTTCCAGGCAACATCCGCCAGTAATATCAGCAGGCAGAGAGGGGACAGAGGTGTGACCTTTCTCTGCACAGCTAGTGGCACTGGGATCACATAAAGGGACAAACTGCTGCTGAAGGCTCCAGCTTGCTACATGAGCAGTGGTTCAAGGTAGAAAGTCACTGTTTAGCCATATTGTGCTGTATTGTACTGGTTCACCCAGCTGGCAGAGATCATCAGTCAGCAGAGCTGTGGTTATGTCCAAGAGCAAAAGGTGTGCCCCATATTGTGCTGGTCTGCCCAGCAGTGCTATGTAGGTAGAAAACATTATTTTGCCAAGATCAGTTTCTCAGGATTCAGCCTGTGCCTCTCACACAGAGCCCTGAGGTCCCAGGGATTGCAGGAAGGGCCACCAAACAACCCAGAGCCTCCTTACCTACATCTGTTGGAGCCTGATCAAGACAGTATTTTTGATCGGGGTGGGGGAAGTAGTGCAAATACTATATGAAAAAATAGTACACATTATCATTTTTATAGGAACCGCAGAAAATTATTTCTATGTATTTGTGCTCCCTCTACTGGCTGTTCTGCTTTTACTGAAGGAAGTCACAGGAAATTTTGCCATTGATTTCAGTGGGAGCAGAAAAGAGGTATGAGAGCCAGATTCCTCATAGGAATAATGCCGATGGACAGTCAAAAGCAATTGAGCTAGTACTATGCAAATTGCCATATCATTTGAAAAGTAACTAAAATTACACAAAGTATAAGGAGATCCTGAATTTATCGTATTGCCTGGATAAAGACTTAGCCAAACTGTAGTGTTTGGCTAATGATAGCATATTTAGTCATAAGTTTAAAACCTTGTTTTCAGAAGAACTGAGTGCTCTAACTCAGAGGGCTCAGCAGGAATTCAAAATATTTTTGAAAATGGTGTCACACGGCATTTGGTGTCTTGTAATTTGATGAAAGAAGTTTCAGAAGAGGGAAAGAAGAGTACAAAACAAGTTTGGGAAAAGTTTTGAGAATGTCGTGAAGAAATAAATGAGGAAATAAATAATGTAGTAAAATGTTCCAGTTACAGATGATCCTGGTTTAACTTTCAACTTGTCACTTCCTTGGAAATGAAGTACTGCAGGAGAAAGAGAGGTGATTGCAGGCAATGATAGTAAGCTGCTGCTTGTTAGCTGAGTCACAATAATTGAACCTGTGTAGCCTGTTTCAGTTGCTAAGTAATGCATGCTAGTGCTTACTTTTTGCCTGAAGACTGAAGTCTTAAATGCCTCAGATAGATCCTGGTTTTAGTCAGCTTTATTTAGGTAGACTACTTGCGTTGTTTATTCATACAACTTTTTCAAACTTGACAGACTTAAAACCTCAATGTCTCCTCGTGGAAATGAGTTATAGATTACTTACGTGTAGTGTAAAGCAGTGCTTCTTTTTCTGTGTTGTAAATAGGTTGCTTTTTAATGCACACAAGCAATTCCGTTGTAATCCTATTCCTCTTGTTTTTAAGAATAAATAGATGTTTCTGATTTATGTTCTTTAAACTACCCACAGTAGGGATTGTTCCTCTTTAAATTACACTGAGTAGTTAAAGCTTCAGTGTTTTCACTGTTTTCCAAGATTTTGCTAATCTAAGCAGCAGCATCTATGCACACACCAAGAATTCTCCTAGAAATTGTAATGGCTTTCTAAAGCGGGCAGCTGTTTGCACTCCTGTTGTCGTCTGTGTCCTTTTTATCTCTGTTCATAAACAAGTTTTTCTTTGCCTTTAATAATTTTTGCTGCCCATCTCTTAACCATTTCAATTTCCACACTGATCTCTTCAAGATTTTGTGATCAGAACTGAATGCCATGATCACAGTGAGGATGCATTGCTGGTTTACATAATAACATTATAATATTTTCAGCATTATTTTCTGTCTTTATCTCAATACAGCCTAACATCCTGCTTTTTTCTAACTATCTGCTCATTGAGCAGGTTTTTCAATAAGCAGATGTATCCACCATGATACCTCTTTGCTTCCCTGATTGTTACCATGTGAGTCACTAAAATGGTTCCTTTTAATGTGAAACACTTTGCACCTATCTACTCTGTATTTCACCTGTCATAATGCTCCCCCGGCATGTTGTAAACAGGATCTGTAAGTTGTTCATGGTATTATGTACTAACTTAAGAAATTCACATGTTCCTCCTGCTGAATCAACCATTGTGCACCATCTTTTCTTGCTGCTTGCTAAAACCATTCAAAAAAATTTGGTATAAATCCTTTAATCTCTATTTGTAGTCTCCTTTCTTGAAAATGGACAATTTATTGCCTAATTTTATGTTTCTTGCTTTTTTAAGCTATTTATATCTTGTAATAGAAGAGTACCTTGTAACCTTAACTTCTGCACTTCCTCCATGCCTCTCAGGAGGGACTTTGTCAAAATCCAGGTTGTATGGCTAAATGCACTTTTTTTTTCAAGAACAGATGAGCTTGTTGTAACAACTTCTTAGCATTGTCATTTGCTATCAGATTTGAAAACTTTGTTTTAAGGTGTTCTTTCATATCTTCAACAACACTTGTTAACACCAACACAACTGACAGAAGAACTTCAACCATGAATTGGAGTTTTATGAAATTTAGGAAAGGATTCACCTTGCTTAATTTAGTCATAGAGCAGTTAGGTATCTGGTGGAAGCTAGTTAACTAGATTTCCCATAGAGCCGAAGAGACATAGACAAGGAGACATATGCATGTCCAAGGGGCAACTCAGGCTGTCAAAATAGAATAATTTTTAGATAGGTTGAATCTCTAATAGGTATCTTAAGGTACCTTTTGTCTCCATTGACATGAGAGGGAGCTAGGGCAGCTATTTTAGGACAGACAATTAATTCTTAAATGAGTGAAATGAGTTAAGAAGAATCCAGCTGCCAGTGGTCACTGGGGTTCAAAACACTTTCTTGTTTATGAATTCCTTAAAAAGTTTTCCTAGTAATTGGTGTTTCCGTAACTATTTGCTTGCCCACAGCGCACAGAAGCAACTTCTACACATTATATTGTTCTCCAGTGTAACTCATCATCAGGTTCCCTTCTTGCTGTTGTCTGGCTCTTTCCTTCTACATACTAGATTCATTAAATCAGGCCTGTAGTCCCAGTTGTCCTCAGTCTTGTTTTATCTACACTGCCTGCCAGAACTTTTCATATTTCATCGTGTCTTATAGCACTACCAGCTTTGGGCTTCTGCCAACTCTAACACAATAAAACGAGCTACTAGGCAGCATTTTCTTACATTGTCAGTTCCCCATCTTCATTGACATTGGCTATCATGCTCCAGATAAACTGTTGAAAAGACATAGACAGCTCTCAGATGGGTCTGTGGTCATTCTTGTACATCTGCTTTCATGCCAGACGTTTTCTTTCTGCAGTCTCAACCTACCACATACACCCTACCATCTCATTGTCACAACTCCATGCAGTCCCTTGTTTTCCTTTCCTGTTAAAAGCCAACCAGCTTTCAATCATTTTCTCCCTGAGATGCTTTATTGCTTTGATGCTGTCTTGTTTTATAAATGCTCTCTTCTTTCTCTGTGTTTGAA